ATATACACACAAAGAAAAGTTTAGGTGCACTTTAGAAATAAAAAATTAAAATTGCAAAACAAGATGCTTCATTAAATAAAGCTATAAACTTAAACTCAAATAACAGGCAAATGAATATTGTTATTGCATGGATAATAAGTAGATGATTTATGGCAAATTATTCCAGAGCTTTAAAAAAATTCATGAAACAATGTATTGCTGTTAAGCACTCAGATTGTCACACTGATATATTAAGGTGCCATAAAACCCTGGTTAGACTCATAATTTAGAAGTCCGTTTGATCTACGTTTTGATAACATCTAAAATATTGTCAGTAAGTTTCTCTAAATATATGTATATCTCTCTGTTAACATGAGTATGACTAAGGACACATTGAGAAATCAAAAATAAAGTAAGTTCTAGTGATAAAATTCCATTGTTTTAGGAAAAAAAAATTCCTCTTCTAATGAGCTGCTTCATAATCTAAATCTCTTCTCATACTCTAATAGGGCATCCTTATAAGACTAGTTTCTTTTGTTACCTGTACCCCATTAAGTGGCCAAAATGCTGAAAAAATTTTGATGGTGATAATGCAATTACTAAAACCAAGCTACCTTTTACCCACCAATTCTACTTCAACAAGAAGGATATTCTCTATCTTTGTAAATCAGGCATTAAATTCATTAGCTTACTTTTTTTGTTTTCATTTTTTGCAAATTGTAGGGACTAAACTCGGGGTGCTGAGCCACATTCCCAGCTCCCTCCATCCCTTTTTAAATTTTTATTTTGAGACTAGGACTATACTAAGGTGCCCAAGCTTGCCTCAAACTTGTGATTTCTCCTGCCTCAGCCCCCAAGTAGCTATAGGCATGTGCCACCACACCTGGCTAGTTTTTTGTTTTTAAAGATAACAATTTAAACAAACAGTAATACAGAAGGGTAAGCAGTGTACAAACTATAATTTGGAGTTTAACTGTATAATAAAGCACACCAAAAGGAAAACAAAGTACTCATCTTAACTGTAAACGCTGCCCATTTTGTCCTACCCCATTTTCATTAAGTGATGAACCCCATTATCTTAGTATATAATTGATATACTATATTACTTTTTCTAATTTTACTCACTTTAATGTATAGCATTTTTTGACTTCAAAATTGAAAAAACTTAAAGTGAATAAAAGCAGCATTCAATGTAGCTGGATGAAAAATATGAAAACATTATAGCTGAGAACTCTTAAGTGTAGGGAAGTTTAAACTTTCAGTTTAAATTACTGTGTCATGTAATCATAACTATGCTACACATGTTAATGTTTATCAGTATCATATACAAATAATCTACTTAAATATATTTTTTTAAATCACTAATTTCAAATTTTCCTTTTTTTACATTTCTGTTCTCAATCACAATGTTTTATTGCCTTTTTAAGTTTTCCTTTTAATTATACACAATAACAAACAACTATAGCAAGGATTCTGAGAATTTCAATATTCTGTTCACTGAATATTTTATGATCTGAAATGGACAGCTTAAGAAAGCATCAGACTTTTAATCTGAAGTTCCAGAGTTTAAAACTCTGACCAAAATATAAGTACACATGAGCAGAGCATATATTTGGAGTTCAAAAAAATATTACAATAATTAACATTCTGATTCAACTTTAACCAAATCAAGTCCAAAGTCAGCCCAAGTTAAGTGGTGACTGGATGCCACAATGTGATCACAGAATGAAATGTGTGAAGTGATTTTGAGTGTTGCCAGTCTGGTCCCCGGACAGTGTACATGCACCTCACAAAAAACCACCACCACAAATAACACCCTTTTAGTGGCAAGCTCAGGGGATAAAGAAAAAAGGCCATAGATACTGAGCTACCTTCTCACACCTGGAGTCATTTCTCCAGGCCCTGGTTGAGTCACACTGGCAAAGTGCTTTGTGGTGGGTGTGCACAGCAAATTCCTGCACTGTATCTGTTCTGTGGATAAACAGAAGACTTCAGTCTCTAAACAGACAACTCAGCACTTTTACCAATACTTTATTTAAAACTTAGGTGTTAGGTTTTTGTCTTGGAAGTTGTTTTAAATGCTTCTCTAAATGTCTTTTTCTGCAAATGATTACCTTTTCTTGTGCTTCTTTCCAGGCTTTCACTGGGTCAGATTCATAACCTCTCTGGACTAACATTTGAATCAAATCTTTCTTTGACCTATTCTCTATGTGAGGGAAAAATAAAGTTAGGATCAAGAAAAGAGATTCAATTTGTATTTGTTTATATTCTACTGATAAAAATGTCTTCTATTAATAAAGATTTTTTCCATTTTAACTAATGTTCAAATTTTTAAAGTTTTCATCTTACCTATAGTAATTTTCCCTTGTATCTTCTCTAAAATGAAACGGGCTTGATTGTTAAGTTTTGTAGATTCTGCTCCCAGCATTCCTACAAGCCATTCCTTACGTAAACCATAATAACTTAATCGTAAATCAAAGAATTCTTTCAGAATGTCTTGCACAGTTTCATACTTCTTCAGACATCCCATATGATCAAAAAGTACCTAAGCAAATAAGGATTTTGATTGCATAAATCTGTACTGTAATTTAACTTATAGAACAGCTATAATATTTAACCATAATATACTTGTATGAACACACAATACTCCTAAAAGCCATTAAACAGAACCAAAACTATTAAGTACATTTGTGTATTTCTTTGGTGACTTCAAGAAATCAATAAATTCATTTCTCAAAATCAAGAAAATATTTAAAATAATTGAGATAAAATAAATCCTTTTAAAATGAAGTTCTTGGGGCTGGGGATTTAGCTCAGTGGTTTGGCCGCCTGCTGCACAAGCCCAAGGACCCGAGTTCAATCCTCGGTACCAAAAATAAATAAATCAATAAAATAAAATGAAGTTCTTAAAATATCTATAACACTTCCTAAAGAAAAAATGTTTTTCCCCAAACTAAAAACATACTAAGCTTAAAAATGTTAAATGTAAAAGTCTCCCTCCTTCATAGATTTAGTGGATGTCCATTTGCCATTACTTTTTACTAGTTACTTGTGTTTGAATACAATTATTCAAACTTTTTATCCTTTTTTTCTAAAGACTTTTTTAGATTATGAAATTTTTTCTCAGTTACTATGCTACTGCTAATTTTTTTCTTCTAATCTATTTTAACTCTGAAGGCTAATTTAGAATGAGACTTAGGTAATCATACACATTAACTTTCTATTTTCCTCTCCATATATATATATATATAATTAACTGGGTTAGAGCTATGAAGAGATAAGTACTCTATAGTTAAAATTCAAATAAAAATGATGATAAGGGCCAGGGATTTAGCTCAGTGGCACTGTGCCTGCCTCGAAAGCACAAGGTCCTGAGTTCGATCCCCGGTACCCAAAAAATAAAAATAAAAATAAATGAGGATAAGGCACATATAAACCCTGCAACAATCACTTTTACAACTCCTAGTCAGTGTGCATGAAGGTGTGTGTATACTGTGTGTTAAAGCCCAGACATATAAATACAGGGTTGAAAGTAAGGGTAGTGAATAACAGTAGAGGAAAGAAATGTACCACTAGATTCTTCAGCAATTATATAGGGAAAAAATACATTCAAGCTATTCTCATCATAAATCCAGTCATAACAATCCAATGTATGCAATATAAGGAAGATTAATGGTATTTTTAATAAATTACCATGGAATTACAAGTAAGAGTAGTTTGAAGTTTAAAAACTTTATGTAATCCAGCAGCTTCTGCTTGTGCTAGTTTCTCTTCTGTCATTTTCACCACAAATTTCACAGTTGTATCAGTATGATATTCTTTATAATCAGAAATTAGTGCTGGTGTTTTATCTGTTCCATTTAGCATAGGTTCTAAAACCTGTTCCTTGTATACCTATAAAAGATTTTAAAATAATTATTTTTATCATATACTCTCAGGTTCTATTATATTCATAGTCTTTCAAAAGTCTTCAACTCGTATGAGGAAAGAAGGGAAACCTCCATCTCTATTGCCTCCTGTTCAAGATTATAGAAGAGAATATATTGGAATAGTCTCAGTGGTGAGAAACGACACACAAGGTAATGGGTTCTGATCTACTCATATTCTAAAGGGCAAAATAAGTCTGAGGACATGAAGAGCATGATATCAACTAGAACTGACAAAGAGATGTACTATGCAAGTACTTAGATCTGTAACAGCTGATAGTGTCATGAATTTATTGATCCAATTTACAAGGACTCAAAAAACTATTTCTTATTCCATTTCTTTCATCTTAAGATAAAAACAAAGATATAGACTTTAAATAAAGCACTTACCTAATAGAAGCTATACTTCATTATTTAGGTAAGCTTAAAAACTTTTAGATTACCATTTGAGAATTCAAAGTACAAATTCAATTGAATGGGAAGAAAATGTATACAGGAATTTTTAAACACTATGTGGATTTTGAAGAATGACAGATCATTCTTATCAGAAAAACATGGTTAATGCAATGCTCTTCTTACAGGCTCACATTTATACTAACCTGTGTCCAAGTTCTAACTGGAAGCTCTGTAATTTCCACTGTGTTTCTATCCACCACAAATATTTCACCACTGACTGCATACTGGTTTTGACCAAGTTCCTGGATTGTACCTTTAAAATTTTTGTAATTTGGAAGCTGAAGAGAAAAAAGGAAATAACAGGATCTTACCTTTACTTATTTTTTTTTAAATCAGAAAAGTTTTTTCAATTTTTATTTTTTATTAGTACATGTTTGAATACATAATGATTACATTCCTTGTGTGAAGTTGGTACACGTAAATAATACATCTTTATTCTTTTTTCATCCACATCTCCTCCCCTCCTTTCCCTCCATACTCTTGAGTTACAGTACTACATTTGAATGCCTCTTAGTCTATGGTCTTCTATTTATTGGTAGATGGACATGACTGAAACCGAATCCCTCATCCTTAACTGTCCCCCTTCAAATGATCACTCAATTTTCACAGCCTTTGTTAATACAATCTGAAAATCTCCTAGTCTCAAAAATCTTAGCATCATCCTTCCCAATATTACTAGAATAGTACCTTTTTCAGCTCATTGCTCCCATAATGCCTTAGATTAATACCCCTTAAATTCAAACTCTTTGCACCTCACATTAACTAGTCTTTAACCAGTCTTTATTTCTATCCAATGATTTCCCCTGAAAAATCACTACTCTTCTATATTTTGCTTCAGTATTTTGAATATTGGGAGATCATTTTCATTCTATGCTAAAATTTGGATTGGAAACAGTTTGTGTCCCCCCAAAGGCTTCATGTGCTGAAATTTAATCTCATTGTGACGCATTAAGAGAGTAGAAACAATCTGTTTCTAGGTGGAGCCTTCAGGAGGTGATTAGAATTAGAAGAGAATCATTAGTGTGGCTGAGTCCTAGCAGCTGTATAAGAAGAGAAATCAGAAAGACACATGTATCCCTGTCTCTTGCCATATGATGTTCTGCACCACCTCCTGATCCTGGCAGCAAGAAGGCCTTCACCAGATGAGGTCACAAACACTGCACCTCCAGAACTGAAACAAAATAAATCTCTTCAAAAGAGAAGACCCTGCCTCAGGTATTTCATTAATGTAGTAACAAGAAACAGACTAAGACACTATCCATCAGTACCAATGTATATTCATTCCCCTCATTCCATTCATCTGTATCTATCTTACTTATCCTTCCCAACCAAATTACAAGAGATCATTCCCTCTTCTAAAATTTGTATTTATTAGCACTAAGAAATTAGGCATATAGCATAGGCCATTTTTTCTAATGAGACACTACTAATATCTTTTGTCACTATAAATTTCAAACACTAAGGTCTTATCTCAAAAAAAATTGACTTTTGGAAGGCAAAGATCACAGCTTTTTATCTCATAACTCAGCACAGTGTATAGTAGGCACACGAAAAACATGTATTGATATTCTAGTTTAAAAATATTTATCTAAAACAGTTAAAATACTATTCTCATAAAAACAGTTTGATGTTGCTCTTAGAAATAAAGTACTTTAAAGAACTGAAGGGAAAACTGTAAATCATATATAGAAGTGTAATTTTTATTTTAAAATATAAAAATGAAATAAAACTTGGTAAAAATACATCAAAATGGGGCTGGGGATTTAGCTCAGTGGTTT